GAAAGAAAACAACCCCTGCCTAGCCTTGATAATCTAATGTTATTATCTATTGTTCTTCTACTGATTCTAAGCTCTGGTTCAGGATATCTTGTTCAGACTCTCTAACCCAGAGACTTATAGAAAACCCATTATCTGTGTGTGTGTGAACGTGTTGCAAAAAACCTTCTGCACTCTACGTCATTTCTACAATATATCAGCCCAGACAGTCACGCCGAACGAAGCCTTCAACCTTCAAAAGAGGGAGTGCCAACTCAGACGAGCACATTTGCAGTGTGTATATAAAAATAATTAAAACAGCTTTATTTAGTAGAGAAATCAAACATTTTCAGCATTTGCCATAAAAGACCAGCATTGGTAGGTTTCCACTATCACCCTCTGTTTTTCACAGGCGAGAGCAGGTTTACACTCACGTGACACACACTCTGGAGAAACCATGGAGAACGTTACACTTCCTGAAACATCGTTCAGCATGACCGGCTTGGTGGTGGCTCAGTGATGATCTGTGAGGCATATCTATGGAGGGATGCACAAACCTATACAGGCTGTTCAGCTCATTTTGTGCTGTGTTGTCCTCCCAGTCCCCCAGGTGGAGGTGGATTCAGGGGTGGAGTCTATCCAGCTGCCCTGCAAAACCACAGTTCGCCTCCCTAAAAATCCTGAAGTTGAGTGGAAGGACAGTTCAAATATGAAGGTCCACGTGCATCAGAACGGCCCTATACAGCAAGAAGGACAGTACCACAGATGGAGACAACAGGACCTACACCTGCACCGCCTACAGCAGGGAGGGAAACATCCTGCTGATGAAACAAGTGGAGCTGAAAGTCAGAGGTCAGTGCTGCTGCTCTGTGTGTGTGCGCGTGTGTGTGTGTGTGTGTGTGTGAGAGAGAGAAATCCAAGTTTCATTTGACATTCCTCAGTCTGATGTCAAATCATCTTAAGCTGTGGTTCCCTGTTGGTGAGACGGGTCCAGCTTTGACAAGCAGATGTTATTGTAGTTGCATCAGTAGACTTGTTTCCATACAGAGGAAATTATGATAACATTAAAGTAACCATAAATATATGTTGTTGCATCACCGTTGCCATCTCCATTCTCTTCCTCTTATCCTTGCAGGAGGGGCTGGAGCCTATCCCAGCCACCATAGGGCGAGGGGTGGGGGTACACCCTACACACACAGAGACAAACAACCATTCACACCTCAGCACCGACATATTACATGAAATCCATGTAATCATGAGCTGTGAACTGGAACAAACACAGAGAAATGGACCAACAGTGAAGCTTTATTAATCTTATATGAGACGGAGGAAAAAGTCAAAGAGAAATTCCCCGTCATGTTTCTTGTTCACTTGCTGCCTCGTTTATCCACATAGTGAACAAATATAGAGGGTTGCATGTTTAATTTCTCCATCATCAGCAGTTAAACAGTGTGATCTGCTCTGAGCTGCTCTGTGAACACAAACCAGACTTTGTGCTTTAGTCTGTTTATGAACCTCCAGCAGTCAATGAAACTACAGATGGATGATTCAAACAGGAAGTTTTACACAGAGAAAAAGGAGTAGAAGAAGAAAGCTGAACGTCTGTAATGGTGATCTGCATGGATCAGAGGAAAATTCAGAATTTTGCCTCCTGCTCTGATCTGCTTCTGTCCTTCATGTTACTGTCTTGTTTGGCTCCAGGACCAAACAGAAAGACTTCCACTTGTTGAATTGTTTCAAAAAGTTGGATCGTGACGATTTAGGATCCAGAGTGATGCTGTGTTCATGCTTGCTAATTTGCATTCATAGCCAGTTATGATATAACTAGAATTTAAATTTAAATGAGTCGTAGTCAGCTGTAGGCTGACAGGAAAAAGAGTCAGTTTCAAACAGAAGTCTGATCCTGTAAGAACCCAACAAACAACAAATGAAAAATGAAAGCTGTACCAAAATCAAACATAATGTCCACACAGGAAGTTTGTGTATGAGGATCATTTAAATGATTGTATTTATTTACTGGATTACATTGAAGCGAATGAAGTTTGACCTGTTTTATCTGATATTCTAGGATGAGCAGCAAACAAATGTTTGTTTTTGTTTGCAAATTGTGACCTCGTGCTGACACTCAGTCATCTGAAGGGTGGGAAAGAGATGTTGACCACAAAATATTCCACCAGTTTAAAGAAAACATTCACTAAGGGACTAAGTTTGTTCATGGGTCACATGATCATCAGCAGCTCTCAGAGGGTTTGGATTCATTGAATGTCATTTTCACAGTAAACTTTGAATCCAGTGAAATCAGTGATGCTGTTTGATCCTGACTCTTCTTTGGAATAAATGCGGCTGAATCTTCGGATGTGAACAAAGTGTAACAATATTCCAGTTTTAACAGGTGCTTTGACTTGAGATGATCGACTTCATTGTCTGACTGTGTTGTGTCTCCTCTGCAGGCAGAGTTCAGATCCAGGATCAAACAGGGGACATCAGGAACAGAAGCAGCTCCATTGATCCGACTCCTCTGATGGCTGATCAATCAGTTTGATCTGTGTGTTCTTTGATTATTGATCAGTGATGTCAGAGTGGAGTCAGTGTGATGTTGTTGTTGTGTGTTTGAGACTTTTAGTGTCCATGAAGGTCTCTGCT